GCCAGAGAAGAGATGAGGGTCTAGGGCTTTAGGGTTTAGGGTTCCGGGTTTAGGGTTTTAGGGTCTAGGGTTTTAGGGTTCGGGGTTTAGGGTTTAGGGTTCAGCGTTTAGGGTTTAGGGTTCGGGGTTTAGGGTTTAGGGTTACGGGTTTGGAGGGCTTTTGGTACCCCCAACCCCAAAACTAGGAACTTATGATAATCATATGATTGCTATAGGGTCCTAAGTTTGGGGATTGGGTCGCCAAAATCCTCCCACCATGATGAACAGAATTATCTGCTGAGCTCCGAAGCCATTTGCCAACAAAAGGCTACTGGTAGGTTGCGCTATGCTACTTGTGGGTATATCATTTTTATTCATTTGTAACGAGTTACCAGAGTGTCCGAAAGTGCTGCTGTTTGTTAAGAACCCATAGGCTGCAGAACATCGTACCTCGACTACTGCGGTAACCCCAACAAGGGCCTTACCAAGGCCACTGTCCTGTGTGAAGGCGATGCAATGTCAGTTTGGTGACCTCGGGGAAGGTACTTACTGTGCGGCATGTGTTGAGCGTTATCGCTTTGATTAATCGGACAGCCCTCAGGCCCCAAGTTCTATACAAACCTTACACTCTGATCCCCGAACTCGACAACGTAAGTCCTAAGCCTTAGACCTTGAACTCTAAAGTCAAGCCTCAAGATCCAAACTCTGATCTCTCTAAACCTCACTTCTGAGTTGAGGTCTTGGTGCTCTTCAGAGAACCGTTTTGTCCTCACCGCGCAGGCATGCTTGGTTGCAACGTGGGAGTGTCCTGAATTTGGGGTTTAGCGTTTATATAAGGTCTAGGTGCTACAGGGTTTAGGGCACAAGGTTCAGGATCTAGGGCTGAATTTGCTTTCGGGCTTCGAGTCACTCAAAATAGGGATATGGCTCTTGTTCTTCGATAGTCCTACACTACCATGTTGAAGCATCTAATCTTCGTTTGGCCAGGGAACTCAACAATGTTCGGAAGGGTCTTTAACCCCCTTGCACAAGCTATTGCCCACCTAGGTCAAGGGAACCCTAAGGTCCAGGTGCCGAATAATCATAAACTTACCCCAAAGCTGTACTACCGTAAGGGTCCAAGAACCCAAATAATAGGGTTTCCGGGCCCAAATACCATTAATAATATAGTATTTGGGCCCTAAAACCCTATTATTCGGGTTCTTGGACCCTCAGGGTTATCATTACTAGTACCCTAAACTCAAGTACCTAAGTATCGAGTACTCGGAACTTCAGAAACTTAAGCCCTAAACCCCAAACATAAGCACTTGGACACTCTGGGGAAGATATGCTTCCTGCAGTATTGGGGTGCCTGCACTAAACCCTAAACCCTAAACTCTAAACCCTAAACCCAACAGATCCTACAATCTGAAGTCCCAAGCCCTGTCCTGTAGACTCCAATCACTTAGCCTTCAACTCAGAAGCCCCAACGGTTTAGGGTTTAGGGTTTACCCTAAATCCTTGCTCCTGAAACCCCAGAATCTAGTCTTTAACCCCTCACCCCCAAAAGCTAACTCCGAAACCCCAATCTCAAACCCACATGCCCAAACTGTAGACCTCTATCCCTAAACCTGAACACTACACCTTAATCTTCATACCTACACCTTCAACCTCCAAACCTTATTCAGGTGGAGGATAAGTACGGAGATTACGGATTGGTGGCCGCAGCCTTCTGCTCCCGCGCTGAGGCAGGGAGCTTGCGCAAGAAGTCCTTCAAGCAAAGCCTTAAGCCCAAGACGCTAAGCCCTCCCTTTGAAGGCCTCATTCATTGAAAGACGCATGTGTGCGTATGTGTACGCATAGGTCTGTATGTGTATGTATACGCATGTTTGTATGTATGCATGTATGTACTTTTGCAAAGGTTACCTCAATGCCCTAAAGAACGGCCCGAACCAGAGCGCCCTTCGCTGAGGGCTTCGTCTGCCTCGACTGCTTCGCGCTGCACCTCGTTTCCCAAAATAAGGGGACCCCAATATGGAACCCAAAATGCTATGAACCTTATTATGGGAGCCTTAAAAAGGTACCCATAATTTTGGGAAATCCTCGCATCTAGGTCCAGACACCCAGAATGCTGTATGCTTTTTGGGGTAGGGTTTAGGGTTCCTACGAAAGTAGAGACTCAGGTAGTGTAGACCCCTGATTGATAACCCCTCCCCTTAACAGGGATTATAATAGGGATCCTAATATATAGGCCCTCAAAAGGAGGGGATTTATGAACCATCGGTCTACATCAGGGGATTTTAGTTTGTAGGCTTGCGCTGTTAGGGGAGCTTGGGGGCCACAGGGTTTACAGGAGGGTTTGGGGTCTGGATCCCTGAGACTTAAATACCCTAAACTCCATACCTAGACCTTCCTCCTACCCTCTATTAGGGCCTAAGTACCTACTATTAGGGACCATATACCCCCAATTAAGGGTACAAGGAGGGTCCTGGTACAAACCAAGGAGCTGTCGAGTGCTGCACCGGGGTGTTGAGCAATGTCTCCTACGAAAGCTGGGTCATATGGCTGAGGCGCCCTTGACGAGTTTCTCTAAGAACCATGCAGTATGAATATTAGCTTCCATTCTCCATTCCCTTGTAGAAGCCAGAGGCAGAGGGCCGGAATTTGGTGAAGATCCAGTTTCGCGCGTCGGGCAAGAATGACCTGGCTCGTGGCCCATTACCCAAAGCAGGGTTTCGGGTCTAGGGTTTACAGCCGAGGGTCTATGGGGCCTTCCCCCAAAAAGGCATGCAACCCACGTATTCTTGTTCAAAAAGAGCAGTAGGCAGTTTCCCAAAATAGGGGGACCCTGATATAGACCCCAAAATAATATAGCCCTTATTAGGAACCCCAAAAAGATACCCCTAGTTTAGGAAACCCCCAGTAGTCGAGGACCTGCTTTTGGAGCCTTCATGTTACTTGCTTGGACATAGATGGTCCGGGGGTGCAGGGATTTCTATTTCTGTGCTTGGGGCTGGCAAGAGCGACTTTAATGAGAACCCCAGACAGGGAACCCCAAGAATATAGTAAGAATAAAATCGGAATGTACCTACCAGGATCATTGTAGTCTATTATATTCCTACTCTATTCTTGGGTTCCCTGTTTGGGGTTCCCATTAGGACCCGTTTATGGAAGGCAACCTTCTCAGCAAGTTCGTGGCGGACCACAACCGAGGGTTCAATTAGGGCTAGAATGAGGTAGCGCTGTTTGGTGGATCTTGCCAAGATGTGTCCCGGGGCATGCAGGCTCCTTTTCTCTATACACAATCCCCAGGTGAATGTTTCTCAAGCGTGAGCCCATTTAGTCCTTTTGGTTGTTTGCAGCAACGCGGCAGTTGCCCTAAATCCTAAGAACTGAGCCCCAACCTAAGCCCTAGCCTATTGCAACTACTAGTACAAAAATCTCAAGTACCAAACTATTGGGGACATGGAGCATTACTGGTGGCAAGTGCTTTTTGCATTTTGCAGAAGCAACTTGCTGAGTGCTTTTTTCAGCCGAGTAATCCGGCTTTAGGTGTAGTGTTCATTGAGTTGAGGCCCTGGGGTATATGGTATTCAAGGGTTAGAGTCTTGGCGTTTTGGGTCTATGTTGTTCAAAGTACTTTTCCTAAAAGAGGTTCCTGCTTAGATATGTGCCTGCAGCCCTTTAGGACCTTTCTGCCTGTTTCTTGCTTGGTAGCCTAAGACTTCCGCATACATAATGGTATTTTCCCAAGTACTCACATAATGACGTGATATGGCCAGACATTACTCTCTCAATGGTGTTCATATCTAAAAGGCAAATCTTTGGGGACTTGCATATGTTATCCCTGAAAAGCCAATATTAGGTTGGGCGCTTGGACCCTTATGGTTATGCTGTTGCATACCCTAGACCCTAAACCCTATCTCTTCCAGCATGTATTCCTTGGCTGAGGCTTCCTTGCACGACTTCACGCCTGGGCAACTTCAGATGCTCCGTATCCCGCTTTCATCTTTGGGGGATTTCAAGGCCAGCATACAGATGAGTTTGTTAGGCTTGGTTTTCCAAAGGGACCAAGCCCGTTTTGGGTTTCGAAGCCAAGGAGTTCACGAGCATGGCAAACCCGATGCAAGCATGGGGGGCTTCTGGAAATTAGGGCCCTTTTCTTGGTCCCAGAATAAGGGTTAGAATATTGGGCTCCTAGGGTTTGTTTGGATCCCCTGTTGCGTGGAAACTGGCAGATGGGAGTGTTTCATAACTCTCTGCATGATCCTTTCTCCATGGGCATTCTCAATATCCGTTCGTCCCTGCATGGGAGATCAAGGCCCCGTCTCCTAAGCCATAAGGCCTACTCTGTCTTTGAGAACCTGCCCATTTCCTTTGGAAGATACTTCCTCTCCTGGAGAAGAGACGACAGGGTTTACTGAGTTGCTTTTAAGGATCTCAGTTTAAGTTACTATATTGGGGAAACCATATTCATTACCTTATATACCCATTATGGTAACTTAGACCTGAACCCCAAAAGTATGTAAAAAGAATGACCTTTAAGGTATTATTTTGGGTTTAAGGCTATTATTTTACATAATTTTGGAGGTTAAGATAGCAACACAGTTTAGGGTGGGCTGAGCAAAGGTGCGAGGAGGCCTCAACTGTTGGTGGCGGCGTGTCGGCCAATGCCTTCAGCGATGACGACACCCAGTGCCCTAGATAGCAAGAAAACTGGTGCGTCAGAGTTGACATACCCGGATGGAGGGTCCACATACACGAGTATTAAGGAATTAGGCCCCAAAATACCCTACCATAGAAGAAATTATGGGTCCCATTCCCTTAATAGCTGTATATGCGGACCCTCTGGCATAGCGAGCATGTTGATCTATACCAAAACCCCCGAAAAGCATGTAGAAGTATAGCTTTTTGGGCTGTTTTAGAGATTTGGGGCTATGTTTTACCTACTTCTGGGGCTCAGGTACACATAGTAGTTTCCCCAAATAAGTGGACTCCAATATAGGCCAACAAATACTATGATAATCATTTTAAGGACCCCCAAAAGGAGCACACGCTTTGCAGTGTTTTGGTCCAGGATACGTTCCGTTTCAGACTACCTGAGCCTCAAAAGTATGTAATATAATTGCCTTTTGGGCAGTTGTTGGTGATTTAGGGCTATCATTTTTCCTACTTTTGGGGCCCGGGTACTTCACGGATAAACCCTCCTTCGCTTTGCGCGGTTATTGCAGGTTCTCGGTGCGTAGGGTATTGAGACATATTGTTTCCAATGTTCATGCATCTGTAGTAAAGATGCCTTCAATCCTGTTTTTCATCATGGCCTGAATGCCAACAGTTCTGTACACCCCTCCAAAATCACATCATCCCCAGAGGGTCCATATATACAAGTATTAGGGAATTAGGCCACAAAATACCATACTATAGAAGGAATTATGGGTCCCAATTCCCTAATGGTTGTATATGTGAACCCTCTGGGATCCCTATTATAAGGACTCCCCAAGGATAAATGAACGACACGGATAAGACCCACATATTCTGCATATATCTCCGCGATCCCGACATGACGCCTGAACCTTTGTTTGAGACTTTCCCAGTTGATGTCTCTCGCCCCCAAGCAATGAACATCGTGTCGGACCTAACCCCCATAATCGCATAAGCTTGGATCAACCTGCTCTCACTTTCCCAAAGGCTCCATGTAGCTATGGGGTATACTTAGGGCCCAAAGGGGTTCCCATATATTTAATTTAAGGCCCAAGTATATACCATAAAGCTGCATGGAGCCTTTGGGACTTCGAAGGCTGAGTTGCTTTGAATTTCCTGCCGGCGTGCTTGCCCGACTGGAGAACCATACGCTGCAGCGATTCTCCAGCCACAAGGCTGTTCTGTATCTCGCAACGGGTTTGTTGAATTGAATGCGGGTAGAGGGGTTCCGTTTCTGCCGCTGGTGCGCGTGCGTATGTCCTGTGGCCTAGGGTCCAAGGTCTTATAGTACTTGGGCCCTAAAACTCCATTATTTGGGTCCCTGGACCCTTGTATAATCCCCCTATATCCCTATATATTCCCCTATAACCCCTTTTAAAGGGACCCTATTATTATCTAGGTTCATGAACCAGATCTTCAGTGGTGCTCACGGCAGGAGTCTGGGCCAAAGGAAGCCTGGCTGGCAGAGGCCTGGATCTGAGCCAGTGGGGGAGGGGTAGGGGGTTTAGGGTTTAGGGAAAACCTATTAAAAACAAAGCCTGAAACCTTAAGATCTTAACCCTGGAGTGTTATTCGGGAGGCTGAGGGTCTTTGGGAGGGGGTTAGGGACTTTGGATTTCAGGGTTTGGACGCAAAGGTTTTTTTGGGGTTTGGGAAGGGGCCTACCTGGGCCCGAAAAGTAGGCAAATAATAGCCGCAAACCATTGAAAGCAGCCCAAATGTCCATTGTTTTACATACTTTGAAGTTCAGGTAAGAACATCTCATCTTGCTGAAGAACGACCGAGACTTTCATGTTCAGTAGTGCCTCAAACCTACCATCTGCGCCGTAGCTAGGAGCCTTGCCTGCTAACTGCTTAGCTGCTAAGATGCAAGCCCAACTCCTCGAACTCCCAGACCTGCCAAGCAACAAATACGTTCAACCAGTTTGTATATATATATATACACTTGTATATACATGTGAATGTATATTTGTATGAACATATTATATGTATGTGTACGAAGACTAGGTGGCACTTGGGGGTAATCAGTGCTTTCCCCCTATTGTAGCAGAAGGGAACCCATTGATCAGCAAGCTTCAGAGCTTCATTGTCCTGCTTGAATCAGGCTATCGAGCGTGAGTCCCGCGTGTTGACGCCTCATGGCTCGAGATATGCAGGGATTGTGATGTGAGCCATATAGTCTAAACTCCTTAAAAGGGGTTGTATAGGAGATTATATATGGGGGTACTATGGGGGTTATAAGGGAGGATACTAGGAGTTTAGACTATGGCTCATGTGACGTGTCCTGAAACCCTTAGCCC